ATATATTCACTTATTCGAAAACCTAGAAATAACTCTATTTATAATGGAAGATGACACTTCTACGACTGTTTTAATTTTATTGATTTTCATTATAAACAATTTATTTTTTGAAAAATGTGCAATAGATACAAAAGAAATATTGATAATTTTCAAACACATCAATTATTTTCACCTTAAACGGTAAAGTAATGATAGAAAAATAGAAATATCATGTAATTGTGTTATGTTCATCAATTAGTGTAAATTTCCCGCAGCTAAATCCGTAACGGTCGTACCATTTTAGGGCATTTACCGTAGTATGTACTTCTACACAGTATACACTACTTTTAGTTGCTTTAACACATGCGTAATCGTATAATTTACACATTTTTTGCTCACTTGCCCCTCACCGCTGTGGGTTCGAATCCCGACAGGGACTTTGGATTCTTTCATGTAAGGAAGCTATCCAGCTAGCTTACGGAACGTCGGTGGTTCTACTCAGGTGCCCGTTCGTGCCTGAAATATGCACGGAAGGGCACCTGAGGTCTTCCTCCAATAGTAAAGCTGGAGCGTCGTGATATGACCTATATTGTGTCGATGTGACGTAAAACCCAAAAACAAACAAACACATTTTTTGCAAATGAAGGAAATAATTATCTAAACACATTTTACATAAAAAAATACTGCAGTTTGATGCTTGATCTGATCGTCGATAAACTAGGTCATATTAATGGGAAAAAGACACTTAATCCCCCGGACAATTCAAGCCACACCCACCCCTCAAGATACTTCAATATTGAATATTTTTATCGTTTTCAACATTAATTATGGTTTAACAGAAAAAAAATAAAAATTGAAAATGTGTCTCAATCAAATTTCTTAAAAAGTTGAGTGAACTGTCTGAGGGTGAAGTGTCTGCAAAATGGCCAAAGTTAAAATGTCTGAGGAGTGACGTGTCTGTACAATCTCATTGATAAAAATAGTGCTTCTAAGCGGAGGAATCGTTATTTAGAAAATTATTTCAGTCACCACAAAAAGATATTTTGGCACATCATTTTCACATAAAAGTTACTTCCTAATGTTTTTACTAACATTTTTGCTTATTAAAATGTATTATTACTATTTTCTATATAACTTGTCGTTTTACTTTTTTCTGCGTACGACTTTCATTCATAAAACCGTGTTTGGCTCTACTTCGGATTGGACAAATTAGGCCAAAGTAGTGCAATTATTACGATATTTTCTCGTTTATATGATATTCATTTGTTTATCTTATGTATAGGATAGATCATGAGTACCAGTTGGATGTGAGATTTATCAACGAGCGAACCGTACATCCAACTGGTACGAGCGATCTATCTGACTTAGACCACAGGTAGTTTTCTCTGTTTAAGGTGAAGATTAAACATGCGTAAACGTTTTTTTTCTCCGACAGTTACATAGGGATATCCAAATATTTCTTATTCAATCTATATGGCCTTATTGTAGGCAAAAAATGCACGAGAAAATGGCATAATTCGTGTTCTTTCATAAGTTACTGAATACACAATCTATTGAATGATAGATAGATCGCAAAGGTGCAGTCAGAAGAAAATTGGGAAGAATTTAACATTTCTGAATGTGATAACATTATAATTTCGAAACTTGGGAGATTTTTGTTGTTATTCCTGTTGATTCCTCATTTAAATGATTTAATGACATAACACCGTACACAGCGCTGTCCGAACGCAAGACTGCTTACCGAAATATACTCTTAGACAGAAATCATGGGCGATGGCTACTTATCAAGAGTGGGGTCGTTGGAGAAACGGGCAGGTAACTTTCCTTAATGCTTAAACAACACTAGGGTTCAGATATTTATTGGTTGTTCGGCTGAAGTTGAAATATTTTACTTGACGTATAGATTCGTTTATTTATTGTATGCTTTATATACATGTACATCCTGCATTGATTTTTTTTACTTCATTCATGAACTGAAAAAATATTACAGACGTCCCTCTGAGGCCTTAAAGCATAGAATTTCCTGAGCGTTGCAACCGCAGCCCAGTCACCGTTCGGAAACTCCACCCCTTGCCCACCAGTGGAATCCCCTTTTCCCAAAGTACATCTACAGTGTCTGCTATTAAGAGTAAGCCGGGCATAATTCAGGATGCGATTATTGAAATCACAGTGCCTGAAAATATTAGCACAAAAGCCGTCGTAAAATTTAGATACATATATAGATTTAAATAGATAGATAAACGCATTTCACATCATTATTGCTATTTTTTTCTTATTTACAAATACAGTAAAATGTATTGTAAAATGATAAAATGTCGAAATAAATTGGTGAAAGGACTATTGCTATCTGTTAATTTTAAGAAGGGAATTACACTATGAACTTGACTATATACATATAAATTTTCCCCGCATAAAGCGTGCACATAACGGGGTTTTCTTTCAGTTGAATACAAACATGATAGTTATATCAAACACTTTACTGTGATGTGTGGGATGTATCAAACACTTTTTAGCCTCTCTGATTGGCCGAGAGAAAACAGCTGTGGTCTAAAAGTCAGATAACTAACGGTCTTTGCAATCAAACTGGAACATAAACGCTTTCCACATATTTCGACATAATATGTGTGCTTTATATGATTAAATCGTGCACTATTTGTTAGATGTTATTCGGTTCGGGACACTTTTGATTGTAGACGTCGAAATTCCATGTGTAGATGACATAGCTCTGAACGCGCCTGAGGGCGCATTTGTCGCAAAAACAGACAGGAAAGAAATGTTAAATTAGTCTGGTTTACTGCAGAGTTCACAGTTATCTTAAAACATATGCCGATAAGCAGTATAATATGAACTTGGACATTTTTCTAGCAACAAAATATTCGATATACATCTGAGAAGGCCAATATATTAAAATGTCTTTTCCTAACAGGTATTTTCAAGAATTTTGCCTTTGCCTTGTTCATCTTTATTATCGTGTTTTTTTTATTTTGTTTTTTTTATCAAATTGTGGATATGAAAGATAACGCTTGCCGTGTAATGTACACAGTCACCGTTGTTTCTGTTGTAACATCTGGTCTTTAATTGCTGTTAAAACAGGGTATTTTTAAAGCTACATTAAATTAATTTCATAGCTACATTTCGTTAATTAAATATGTTTCATATCGACTCCCGTTCTTATTTTGGTGTCCAGACAACTAAAATGAGTTTTATATGTAATAAATCTACAACCTCATTGTGGCGAAGTTGGAAGTACAATTTCTATTTGCACTAGAAACTCCGCCTTTGGGTCATCTGTACATCAATAGAACATTAACGAACGTTTTTAAGTATAAGTCCGAATTTAACGGTATATTTTGCATTATATTATGGATTTTGTTTCATACAAATTCAATACTTTTATCAGATGATTACTTTTTTTGTGAACGATAGGGCTAATGCACCGTGAAACTAAAACGGTAAATGTTTGTTTGCACAAGAAAATATCCTATTTGCTTTGATTCACATGGTTTCAATTGATGTAGCGCATACACGAGCTAATTATACAAGTCTTCATTTGATGGTTAATTCTTTACTTTAGAGTGTAACCGTGGGGTTTTCTCTTATGAACAATTTTTAATGAGATTTACAACAATACCGTTAAAATGTTAACGAAACTATAAAATCCTTGGTTTGTAAACCGACGGAAAAATATGTTTACATATTTTATTTAATTTATCATTAAGGTTGCTAATAGTTTCCACCAGTTACAGATCATTTTAAAAGTTCAATAACCTGAATCGTCGAGCCGTTTCCGTAGCTGGCTATCACTGGGACCATCAGAGGGATCTTTAATTACCAAAATACAACAGTGCAAAATCATTATTATACGCAGGACAATAATTTTCGTCGTTTTTGTTGATAGGTCAAAAGATCAAAAGAAATTTTATTTCGTCTGGTGTACTGTTTTTACAATATTGGCAATTTATCTTTTTGCAAAGACAAGCGATTTACGAACTTGAGAACCACAAAATGTCCACGCCCAAGAAAGTATCTGAATTCACAATAAGTACTTTTACATTTTTTTAAAAAGTTTAAAGGATGCCATATTAGCCAAAAACAATGATAAACCAAATATTGGTATGCAACAAACAAAAAAACAAAAACAAAAACAAAATAGAAAAAAAAAAAAAAACAAAGGAAAAAAATGTAACTTTCGAAATAGATAGTACAAATACGTATAAGCCACGTTCACTACACATTTTTTTGGTTGTGTCCATACTGCGTTATATAAATGCTGTCTTGTGTCTTGTTTGAAAGACACTGAAGAATACTTTCAGCTGCCGTCAACCGGGTTTCTTTTAAAGTATATGAGTGAAATTGAAATTCCCATATATGCTCAGCCAACATGTACGATCCCGAAGGGAAACCTATATTATAGAAGTGTTGACGTATATCGTGCCCTTAAACCAAAACACTTTGTTATCTGCAGTACCATAGTTTGTTTCACAGCAATATGTGGGTTTGAAAATTATATTTACCCAGATTTGGTCAGTTTTATACAATGCTGTTATCATTTGTGGCCGAAACATACTCTTCATCCTATCTTTCTACTTTATGTTTATATTTTTGCCTTAATTGTTCTGAAATTTTATTCAATACACTTATACCAGGAATTATTCGTAAATCTCTGATTTTTAATCATTACAAAAAATCTGTTAGAACAGGTGTAAGATAAGAAATAGTGGCCCTGAGACATTAAGATTTGTTTTAGTTGTTACTGTACTTCCGTCTGTTGAGGTCTTATCAGGATAACATGAATATATGTTACTACAAAAATCTAAGCATCTATTCATTGTTTTGTGTATCTACTGTTTTCATCGGAAATTTGGAACTTCAATTTAACTTCCTTGAAACTTAATATAACGTCCTTGATGTTTGTTAAATATCCATTGTTCTATTCATGAAAAGGAAATTAAATGACTTTTGAACTTTACAAACAATGTTGCGTCCGTGATGCTGATTGATTGTATTTGTATATATCAATGGATAAACATTTGTCGCAGAGATGAACAATAATAGTCAATCTTGATGTCTTTAATCACCTTATTTTAAACATTTAATGGAACTGATTGTGACACAAGTAAGTAAACATTTGTAGTATATTCTTATGTTTATTGTCCGTTTGGGTTTATGAACGTAACAAATAACTATTAAAGTTCTATTTTATAATTAATGACTTTCTAAAAGAACTTGCCAAGTTTTATCTACATATTACTTAAAATTAGTCTGTTTTGAAACTACTTATATCATAAAACCATTATTGTGAAATGAATAATGTCATGGTGACGTTTAAAGTAATTTTGCATTATTGTCGTTATATATTGATTACAGAAATGTTAAGATTCATATTTCTCTTCTCATTTTCTTACTATTTTGACAATGGCAGGTTGTATAATATGATGTGGCGAGCATTGATACTTGTTTTGGCCGCTAACTGTAAGTTTCATTTATTTATATTTAAGACTTGTGAACATTACCCTTAAGACATAATCGAATTTGAATGAAGAATTATGATCGTAAATGTTTAAAACAAAACTTATGATTACAATTTGAACTTTAGATAGTTATTACATTATTTTATTATCTCTTTTGCATGCCTTTTATCTTACATTTCTACTCACAATAAGTAGCCATCCACTTGCAATTTCTATGAGAATAATATTTATATTCAATATATTATAACAGAAGATCAAAAGATTGATTTAATTGGCGAGTACACAGATAACAATAAAAGAAACTTTCAATATTGCCTATTTTGTCTTCTTATTAGCCAAAACAAATAAAAATAAAAAAATAATAAAAAAATAAATGAAAAAAATAAATAAAATGAAATAAACGACGTGCACCTTCAAAAATCTATAAATGTTCTTCAAAATATGTCTGAAACGTTCAATTTATTATTAGAGTGGGGTAGTCTTTTTATATTTTAGGCAATTTTTTTACATTTTATCCTAACCATTTTAAGTCAATGACCATAGCAATAGTCCATCTTATAAATATATAAAGAATTATTCCAACTTAACAATGACAAAAATGAGCAAAATGTCACTTAAATTTTTTTTAAGAAATCCATAAAGTACTATTCCATTAATATAAGCGGTTGTTTAAGTTCCTAAATCAAATTGTTCCAGAAGTTCGATATAAGGGATTGTTCAATTTCCGATGACAAATTGATGAAGTTCTCTTGACATTTTTTTCATTTGGATGAATTGCTTGGAACATTGCATGTATGGACACTTTTATCTGGAAAATCATATTTACAGAAAAGTGCAGTTTCACTTAATATTTTTGTAAGTATATATATAGAGAGATTTTAATCAATGTTACAGGTATAGTATCAGAATACACAATAATTTCGCCAGCTTTCAATGATGTATTGGTGAACAGCAGTTTGGAATTGGCATGTTATACTAACAAAAATGTAACTGTTACACAATGGGGAAGTTTAAATCACTTGGACACATTTTCGCACCTGTATCTTTCGGACAATGGAAGCTGTAAAACAGATGGGTTCCTAGCTGACAAACGATATTTTGAAACGAGTTGCTATAGTAACGGCACCTTCAAAATAAACATAAAACGTGTAAATTTAAGTAACCATGGTCAAGAATGGTATTGCTACGGCGATAAAAGAAAAAGTAATATTGCTAATATTACTGTTCGAGGTAAGAATGTGTTATTTTAGTATATTGTACAGCAGTTTACTAGTCAAGATAATTTAATGAAATTTCATTGAAATTTATTGTCAGGCTTATACCAATAGAAGTCATCTAATAAATTTCTCTAATTAAAATATGCATTATGAATTAAAAGTAAACGTGCATTTGGAGGACAATTACCAAAAGCTGGTTAGATTGTTTGAATTTTAATACTTCGGCTCTTCTATTATCCATTGAACCCCAGATTTTACTCAAATAATATCAATTTCGGCGAAAAATCAAAACGGAATTATTGCAGATTCGGTTTGATTGAGTCTGTAAATGAGGGATAATGAAAAAATTACAACACCCCTCACTTTCCCTAACACCGACTTGAGCGGTACTCAATTTTCAACACTTGGCTGGAATCCAAAACCCCGAAGGACCAGAAAAATTAAACAACACTGAAGTGAAGTACGAGGCAACATTTCACAATTGCTGTATAGCTAGAAACAAACACATTTAAAATAACGTAAACAGATTCGGGATCAATCTTTTTTTTCTTAAAAAAAATAATTCTGATGTTTGAATTGACAATTGCATAGTAAATTGTATTTATTTTGCAGTTCCTGCCACGGGAGTTATCTATGACTTTCATTCAAATAATAGCATTTACATCAATGAAAATCAAATGCAAACTTTGAGTTGCAAAACCTCAGCGTGTTTACCAAAACCATTAGTTAAATGGTACTTATGGAATCCCATCAAAAATATAACCTACGATATAACAAACCATTCGACTGAATCATATATTCCAAAAGAAAACAGGTTGACAGTAGCTGAGAGTATTCTTGAGATTCTTCCAAACAGGACACTGGACCGCTGGCATCTATATTGCGCAGTATGGACACAAGCGACAGCGGCAGACATTTTAAGCGAAGAATTTGTACTGAACGTGGCATGTACGTTTTTGAATTATATATTTTGAAAGTTACATTTCACACCAAAGTACGATTTATTATTGTTTTTTGTCTAAAATGAAATACTTTAAACTTTTAAAACATTTGTAAATGTACTTACTATAATTTGAGATAGTTTCGTGGGCATTTTTGTTGGTTCTCAAGTTCGAAAACTGCCTGTCTTAGCAAAAATAGTAAAATGCAAATATTGCTATAAAAATAATTGTACACCGGAGGATGTGATCTTAAATTCTTGGTTAGGCCTATCGACGAAAACGACGCAAACAAGTGTCCCACAAAAAATAATGATTTTTGCTCTATTGCGTTTTTATGCCCCCGCCATGTTATGGCCGGGGCATATAGTGTTACCCTGTTCCGTCATTCCGTCCTTCCGTCCTTCCGTCATTCTGTCATTCCGTCATCATCAGTTTCCGTTCATTATCTTAAGAACGGTTGCACACATTCAACTCAAATTTGACATATGGATATGTCATGAGAAAATACAGGTCAAGTTCGAATTTGGTCATGGTTCGATGATTTTTGGCAGAGTTATGCCCCTTTTACTTTGAAAATAATATGAAATTTCAGTTTCCGTTCATTATCTCCCCAATGGTACAACACATTCAACTCAAACTTGACATATGGATATGTCATGAAAAAATACAGGTCAAGTTCGAATTTGGTCATGGTTCAATGATTTTTGGCAGAGTTATGCCCCTTTTACTTTGAAAATAATATGAAATTTTCAGTTTCCGTTCATTATCTCCCCAACGGTACAACACATTTAACTCAAACTTGACATATGGATATGTCATGAAAAAAATACAGGTCAAGTTTGAATTTGGTCATGGTTCGATTGATTTTTGGCAGAGTTATGCCCCTTTTACTTTGAAAACAATATGAAATTTTCAGTTTACGTTCATTATCTCCCCAAAGGTACAACACATTTCAACTCAAACTTGACATATGGATGCGTCAAAGGAATTCGCAGGTCAAGTTCAAATTGGTCATGGTTCAATGATTTTTGGCAGAGTTATGCCCCTTTCACTTTGAAAGTAATATGAAATTTTCAGTTTCCGTTTATTATCTCCCCAATGGTGCAACACATTCAACTCAAATTTGACATATGGATATGTATTTGGGATGCCCAGGCCAAGTTCGAATTTGGTCATGGTTCAATGATTTTTGGCAGAGTAATGCCCCTTTCACTTTGAAAATAATATGAAATTTACAGTTTCTGTTCATTATCTATCCAACAGTGTTACATATTCAACTTAAATTTGACATATGGATATGTCCAAGGAATGGGCAGGTCAAGTTGGAATTTGGTCATGGTTTGATGATTTTTTGGCAGAGTTATGTCCCTTCCACTTTGAAAATAATATAGATACATCATAGGAATAAGCAGTTTAAGTTTGAATTTGGTCGTGGTTCAATGATTTTAGACAAACTTATCTTTTCTGAATGTTGGAAAAATTTTGAATGAACTTTCAGTTTCAACACTCATACTTTCAGCCATTATTTTGGCTACAAATATGCAATATGCTATTTTTAAAAGGTTAAGACTGAATAATTTCAGTGCCTTGAACATTGTATGAAAATGGTTTGTGTTAACATTGAAAAGTTTTAAGGGCTTTGAACTTAAAATGAAAAAAATAATTAATGCACCATCTGAAATTTTGGCTGCATGCGGGGGCATCCGTGGCATGATGACACATTTCTAGTTATCATTTAAGATCCACCAAATGGTCCCCCAATGATAGCTGGCTACAGAAATGGCTCTACTATACAGGTTGTTGAGACAGAATCTGTTGAATTGACATGTTCTGTAACTGGTGGAAAACCATTAGCGACCTTAAGAATGACCTGTTTAAACAGTAATTCAACACCAACTGTTACCAAAGAAACGACGGTGACTGTGTACATTGCAGGACAAGTGAATCACAATCATAGTCAATGCATATGCGAATCTAATCATATCATTAGTGGTACACAAAAAATATACGTCATGCTTGATGTGCTGTGTAAGTGGAATTTCAAATTTCAAAGTGATTTTTAAATTTGTCAATAACCATAACTGATTATTTATCTTTCATACCCACGATTTGGTAAATCTTTGAAATTACCTGTAAGAGAAAATAATTTAATTGTATTTACCTTCTCAGATGCATGTTCGAAAATATTTTGCTGCTAAAGTAACGTTTATGTAAATATTAAGCTGCTTATTTACACATTTATTAAGATAAGTGTGAGCACTGCAGTAATCCAATCGATTAAGTTGAACTCATCAGATGATATCGATCGCCTAGGTGTAACTGGATCCGCAACGGAAATAGAACACGCATCAAGAATTGGGAAATCGTAGGTTACAAGACACAAATACTCCTATTTGTTATATCTATATGACACTTCTTTCAGTTCAACCCCGTGAAATCCGCTTCAACTTCGGAATAGAGGCAGGAGAAAGGTTGATTGTAAACCAAAATGAAGAGGTGACTTTTCAATGCTTCGCGGAATCTTATCCTCTTCCAGACATTGTTATTAGAAATCAAAGAGATGAAGAAATCATAATGATTAAAAATACAAGTTCGGTTCAACATATTATTCATAGGGTATCTTGTGCTGATGCAGGAGAGTATGTATGCTCTGCTAGAAATATGTTAACAAATGGAGAAGGAGCACTATCAAAACTCATTCTCATTGTAAGATGTAAGTCTTAAAACTCCTATTCTGTCCGTTTTTCATCTTTCATTTGTAAATTTATCAATCTTTCGTGCATGTCATTTAATCTATAGAAACTGTTGATCTGGAATAAGACCTAACATAAAAGATAAAGCTTTGGAAATATTATATCAATTCTCTTTAAGTAACATTGTACTAACTTGTATTAAAACATTTACGGATCATACCTACTTCACATAAAAAAATAATGAAGCACCAAGTTAAGTTTGCAAGAGACATGTATAAGTTTCAGATGACTCTTTGTCATTAAATATATTTCCATCGTTGATCATGTTTATAGGTCCTCCACGTCCGTCAGCTGATACATTAAAAGAAACAAAGATAACTGCTCTTCTGTATGTTGACGTTACGTTGCAATTTGTAGCTCAAGACTTTTTTGACGAGAAAAACAAAACAGTATTCGCATGGTATAAACAGAACGTGTCATTACAAAATGACGAGAAGTATATTATATCATCTTATGTCTTACAGTCTAACTTAATCATCAGAAACATTACTTACTCAGATTATGGACAGTACCGAGTTATTGTCAGGAATTCATTTGGACATATTACACACTATTATGAATTGCAGGAAAAGGGTAAAATCTAGTTAATGTTAAAATTCTACAACCATCAATTAACATTTCATGATAATCTACTTTTCCATCAAAGAAAAACATTTCAAAGTCACAAAAAACTCCGATGCTCCAATTTTCATTTTTCAAATGTTTCTGTTTGTTGTTCTGTAACAGTTTCGTGAACGGTACTTAATTATGGACTATATGAGTTAACTATCTCTTGTGTTTGGCCAACTAGCAATTAGTAATGATAAAGTGATTTTTATATTTGTAATGAAAATAAAATACCACATTGCTTATGTTTTTAATATTCATATCTGCTTTCTTCGCTTGATTTGGCAGTTAACATGATTTAAATCCATTACGAACACATAATAAAACATATGTTTGCCTTTTGAAAGATAATGAACTAACTCGTACATACTTACTAAACACCATAATATGTATATAACTTATACAAGTAATTACCTTTTGAATAATATTTTTATTGATGGATAACTTATTACAGGTGCAAATGTAGTAAATAATAATTTACCAATGCGAGATGGGAAATAACACGAAAGTGGTTTTTTTAGCTAATGTAGTTATATATTTCTTTTCTAAAATACAGCTCTTCAACATTCAACTGAGCCTATAACAGCCTCGACACTATTTGGGGTCGCAGTTGGTGTATCTAGTTTCACATTTTTAGTGGTTGTATTGGCATTCTTCTTTTGGATATGTGCCAGGTAATGAAAATGTCACCAAAGAGACACAATAAATAAATAGATAGATTTCAAGAAAACAAACAA